CCCCAAAACCCCAAAACCCCAAAACCCCGCGGAATTTTAGATCTTAGAATATTGAGAATTTTAAATTCAAATACAAAATAAAACTAATGGAAAAAGAAATAAAATTCTCATTCTTAAAGCTATTCAATTCAATCAAAGGGGTTCATAAGCCAGAATAAGACTATGATTAAAATTATCTAGCATCTAGAGCTGATTCTCAGACAAAATTAAAATTTCAAAAATTCTTCAAATGGTGCAAAGACAATGGCATTACTCATCCCAAAGTTAAGTATCCAGTCTTATTTGGTAAGGGAAAGAATCAGTACATGGGCATGATGGCAACTGAAGATATTGGGGCTAATGAAACCATGATAAAAGTGCCAGCAAAAATGGTAATCTCAACTTAAGTATGTGTTAACAGTGAAATCAAGAACATCTTTTATGAAAATCCAGATATATTCGGTAGAAATTCAAATGATGGTGAAGATAATGTCCTGATAGCTTTTTTACTTTATGAGCTAGGTAAAGGTGAAAAATCTTTTTGGAAACCTATGTTTGATGTATGGCCTAAACCAGGGGATACAGATCTTTTGATGAATTGGTCAGATGAGGATCTTGAATGGCTTTAAGATCCTACTCTTTCTCATGATGGATAAAGATAGTATGATGAATTCTTATAGTCTTGGAATGACTTATACTAATGCTTAACACGCTATCCAAAATAATTCTGTGAATCAGCAATTGAACTTTACAAATATAAATGGGTCTATATGCTTACAACAAACAGATGTTTTGGTTCTAGTTGGCCCGGAGTTTCTTGTATGATACCTTATGCAGAGTTTATAAATCATGAGAACGTCAATATTTAATATGATTATCTAGATTAAAAGGGCAATAGTATTCAATGTGATGAAGATAAGAAGAAATTAAAAAGAGAGGAAAGAATCTTAGCAATGCTGAAAAGAAAGTTATTCCTAGAAGATCTAAAGCAAGATTTGGAAAAATTAGAAGCAGAAACTAGAGCAAGATTGAGCGGAGAGGAAGTCAAAGTTCCGACAGATGAAGAGCGATAGTAGTTAATAAATGAGCGTAAATTGAAAAGATAGACTATGGAGTTTGAGATTAAGGCCTAATTAGCTGAATCTTATAAATCAGCGAATTCATCAGACTCCGATGAAGAAAAGTAAAAAAATTAGGATGATGATTGCGAGAAGAAAGACTAAGATGAATGGGATTATAGTAGTGGAGTTGAATCAGATAATGATGTTGATTTACTAGTAGAGTAGGAAGTTCTTCACGCTTTCAAGCTTAATAAATAATAATTGTACCATGAATAAAGCCTTAAAAGTGATGAAGAAAAGCTGAGCTAGTTGGCAGAAGAAAATATGAAAGAAAATGAAAAAGTAGAAAATAATGAAGTAACGGACTAAGAATCTTAGACAAAAGAGAAAGCCTATAAAACTTGGTAACTAGTCGCTAGTCAAGTTCCAGATGACTATGACTTTATCATAAGGACTTATAGCGAAGGCTTCCCAAAAGGATCTTAAGTATTCTTATGCTATGGTAGAATGTCAAACAGAGAAATGCTAAAAAGATATGGATTCTGCCTTTAATGGAATAAGTATAACTACGCATACATTAAGCTTAGGTTAGATTCTTAAGATCCTGAATTCGCCTATCGAAAGTTTATCATTAGAAAATTTTTCTCAGTTGACCCTAGTAAAGAATCATTTGATATTTCTAGTAGACATTTCAAAATTTATTTTCAAAAGCTAAATACTAAAGTATTAAAGTTCATTAAGATACTTAACTTCAATGTTTAATCGGATGATATTTCTTGCATTGTGGAAAGTAGATCACTATCATTGGAATACATTTCATTTTAAAAACTTAAGCAAGTTTATGAATAATTTTTGAATAGTTTTTCAACTTCTTATAGAGAAGACAATCATGCAATTAAGCATGATAGAGAAAAGCTTACTCATAGATAATACTTCGCCACCATTTATAGAAGTGAGCTTAAAAAGATATTAATTAACTAAATTAGATTAGTAGAAGTAGTTTTATAAATACTTGAAAGAATAATGAAGGGAATGACATTTGATTTTGCTGTTACAAGAGTTTTCGAGTTGGAAACCAAAAAGGAATTTGTAGTTAATAGAATTATGATTGATAGCTATCTGACATCACTTAAGAATGGTTTAGAAAAAAATAAATTAGAGTATATTAATTAAACAAGTCAAGATTTTGAAAAGTTATTAGAGTCATAAAGATAATTAAGGGTTGATCTACCCAAGAACATTTATAGATAATTTGAGATTAAAGGATATGATAAGATGCTTGAGAGGATGATTGAACAGCCAATAAAAATGTCACAGTTAAACGAAGATGAGGAAGCTGAGAGAAGCCTATTGTTAATAAAAGATCATATTCAATTTTAGGTTGAATAAAATGATATAATTTTAAGAGGCGATGATTATGAACCAGCTGATTAATAAGTGGAAACTCTTGCATAGAGTAATGAAACTAAATAATAAGAAATAGGTAAATCTCCCAAAAAAGAAGACGGTAATAGTGAGTATGGCAGTGAATATGATTCTGAAGCTGAAGAAGTCTCTGAAGATGAGAATCAATCTAAGATTTTGGATAAAGGGGAAGATGATCCAATTTTGAAATAAGCTGTTGACTAGAATAATTGTAACTTCAAACAATTAATTGAAGATGTTACCAATTTAGAGTGATTATCATTTAGATTGAACATTTAATCCTTTAAAAATTGTTAAAAATCTGTTATGAGCAATTATTATTCTGATAAATAAATATATACATACTCCAAAATAAGCTTGGAATAAAAATCTTGGTTTTGGGGTTTTGGGGTTTTGGGG